TTCGGACGATTCTCCGCGCAGAAGGTCACGAATCGTCACGCTTGCCGAGCCCTGCCGGCCTTCGGGAATGTCCGTCATCCAACTTGATGAGCCTTAGCCGAGCAGCCTAACCAGGTCGGAGAGTGAAAATGTGGCTGCACTGTCACGCCCTCGAGGGCCAAGTCTTGTTTCTCCCATTTGTGCACCAGTGAAGGCTTCGGAGAATTGAGTCCTGGGTATCATGGGTGTGTATGAGTACGTCTGAGAAACATGAAAGGAAGCGCCCGAGGAGGAGCTCGGAGCGAGACTCATCAAGTTTGAATAGGGATGAGTTGCACCACTTCCTCCTGCAAGATCGCCGCAGTGACTCTGTGAATAAATTTGGTTCTTTTTTCTGCTTGTTTGGAATGAACTCGCGCACCTATTTGCCAGCTTGCAGCTTTATCGGGTGGAAAATGAGGGAGACATGGTCCTTTGTCCGAACACTAGGGTCTGTCCGAACACTGGGGTCGCGATAGTAGCACAACTGATGAGTTCTTGAAGGTATACAGGGTAGGCATGTATCTCGAATGTTCTCGGCACACGTGCACGCATTCGATTTGATATAATGCGTTAGAACTACAGTAACGCGGGACGTGCGATACAATGACATCTGCGATGGAATTCCGGAACGTGACGTGTAGTGGATAGCAATGCTTCGGCGGCTGTACGTGGATAGTCAATCAAGCAGACGAGCTGCTACAATAACGAACGATAGATCAAAACGCGCGAAGTAAGTCGAAGGTCCAAGCTTATGTCCGATTTGGAGCGAACTCTGAAAGGATGTGCGCCCTGTCCGACGTAGGGTCTCCCAGGGCGTCGCAGAGATGCGGAGATGTAAGAGAGACGAGCGACCCGCTCCTCCTTCGCATCCGCATCCTCCATCAAGGTTCGTCCCCGAGACAAGGGTCACAGCGGCCTCGTCCTTTCTATCAGGACCAGCCTTGCTCTTCTTCCATCCGCCCGGTTGCCATCGCCCAATTCATGAACAGAGTCGCGTTCGCTGCTTGCGGTGGAATCTGCTGTCCCTTCTTGGGTGTCCTTCCCAGTGTCCGCGGTCGTGCCCACCGTTTCTGCTGAGACCGTTGCGGGAACGCCGGACCTCGCCTTGGACTGACAGCGAGGATGAGCGCTAGAGGCGTCGCCGTCGGACGAAGGGAAGCAAGACAGAGCAGAGCGCTGGGGCAGAGCCTTGACTGTCTGGGCGGGTTGGGAGCCCACTCTGCGAAGCGGAAGCGAGATTGTGCGTTCGCCTTCGCACGGAGAAGGGTAGGACGAAGGCAAATGGGATGTAGGAGGCGCGTCATCGAGAGAGTGCAGGCCAGCAGCCTCGCCTCGAGCGCGGCTGGTAACAGTTCGAGCCATGGTCGTACCCGCCGACTTCACCCCACTAGATGGAGGGTAGGAGGGCCCGGCGCAGAAGGTGAAGGTTGGTGTGGATATTGACGTAGTAACCGACGAACTCGAGCCCGGCTCTCGAACAGCGCGGGATGCAAGCTGTGCTGTCGACTTTGCCCCAAGGGACTTGGTCCGAAGGAGAGGAATTCGGCTAGGCGGCAGGGACTTGGTCGGGCGACTGGTATTTGCCTGGGCGGAGCCGGTGGCGTCTAGGGTAGACGCGTTCCCGTCGCGCACGTGTCCCGAGCGTAAGGACGGCGTTGGCGGAGGGGAGGAAGACACGGCGAGAGGGACGCTTGGCGCAGAGTGCGACTTCACGATCCGTAGACGCCCCGATCGGGCCGACGGCGAACCGCGACGGGCGGGAGCGGGGACCGGCGTCGTGAGCGCCAAGCCGTTTGCGTGTACGTCCGCGTAGTCGACAGTAGTCAGACGTTGGGGAGGCCGAGGCGTGCGGCCGACGTCACCATCCGGGACGGGTTCGCGCTCGAACAGTGCAGGAAGCGGCGCCCGCTCCGTCTCCCCTACAGCGGCTCGCGGAAAGTGCGAGGGAAATGATGCAGTAGGAGTGACCGTCGCTTCGTCCGCACGGCGGGGGCGGTCCGTTTGAGTGAACGCGCGCACCACCTCGGAAACGCGAATTTGCTCTTCCAGAGAGCGTGCATGGCGGGTCGTGGGGCGGAGCGTCGCCTGCGGATCGCGCGTGAGGGGGCAGGGGTCGGGCGAGCTGGTACTGAGCCTCGGAGGAGCGAGGATAGACGCAAGGGAGCGGTTGGAGGATGGGCTCCGGCGGATGCGTCCGGCGAGGATGGCGAAATCGAGATGCTGGGCGTGGTTACCGCGGGAACGAGCGGCTTGTTGGGAGTGCTGATGTTGGGAATGGCCAGATAAGTCTGGGCGGATATGATATGAGGGAGAAGACGTACCCATGCGAGGAGAACCTGGCGAGCGAGAGGGGTTTCCCAAGATAGGCCGTCGAGGTCGGTGAACTCGGCTTTGACGGAGGAGAAGGATTCAGTGAGGATACGAAGCTCTTCCTGTGGGAACGAGTTGGTCTGGGTGAGTATAACGTAAACGAGACGGAAAGTGAGACTGGGGTGGGGGACTTTCAAAGGCTAAGATGGAGAAGGACGGAGAGTGTGTGAATGGGACTTACGGGAGTAATGTTAAAAGCCTGGAGGTCCTCAATCTCCTGCTCGTGCTCGAGGAGCTTCTGCCTGATGATGCGGGCCTGTGCTCTGTCGCTGTAGTTGGGGAGCGGAGCGGAGCGCTTGAGGGGTCGGGCGGTGAGGGTGCGGTCCATGCGGTGGGAGTCGAGAAGGTGAGTTGATTACAGTGGGGAGAGACGTGATAGGTAGACTGCTATGACCAGCAAGCAGACTGTTGGGAGTCTGTAGGCTGTGGCTGCAGATTGAGATTTGAAGGAAGTGGCTGACTGGGGTGGATTGTGGTTCGGACTGGGAGTGAGACTAGTGTCGTGGAGGGAGTGGTGGACGACGAGGGAGATGGGCTGAATGGAGTGGGAGTGGTGGGGAATGCGTCGGTGGTTGAGTACTGGCGGCGGGTGAGGAGAACACTAGCGGCGGGCGCGCGTCGGTCGCGCGCGTCGGTGACAACGCCGTGTGACCGGCGTGACCGACGCGTGTAAGTATAAGTCGAATCTCCGCCACGACCGACGCGTGTAAGTATAAGTCGAATCTCCGCCACGCGTCGCGTACTCTACATCTGCGCAGAGTACGTATTACGCTTGCAGAATACTGCCCGTCCCAGTCGACCCCCGTACCGTCCCGTTACAAGCCCGCCGTCCTGGATTCAGACTGCCGCAGTCCACCCGGAATCAATATGGAGCATGACAATCATACAAGTTAAAACAATTCCCCAAGACTCCACCGAGTTCCCCCCAAAGCTGACCACTCTCAGAATGCCCAGTGTCCAAAGGGGTGAGAGCGTGCTCTGGAAGTCTCCCGTTGATCCTGATCAGGGGTGAAAATCGTACAGCTCATTTCAGGCCACGACAGGAGCAGATCGAACCCGAAGACATGTACGCGACTCCAGGACCCCCCCGATAATATCGTCCGGTGGGGCGACACGCCGCCTGCATTCCTCTCCGTCGACCCAAGTCGCCTATAGCGTCGGCCTCGTCTATGGCTGCGCTTGAACGCATCCGAATCGTCTACAGCGTCGTCCGACGTGGTCCACCCTTGCCAAGCGATGCCGTCCGATGACATCTGTCTCGGTCGACAGGAATGAAAGGATACTACCCACAGACGAGGATCTTGTCGACGATGGATGCCCACCGGAACGGGCCGTGGCGATGGGCGGGGGCTCAACCGTGGTACGCCCGGAGATCGCGGTGGTGGGCGACTATGTACTTGCGAGTATGTCTGTTGCTCGGTATTGCTCTACTACACCAGTAGCCGGACATCGGTGCAGATAGCTTGAACCCATCCGAGGGCCAAAGTGGATGAAGAATTCGTGCCCATCAAATGCCCTGTGATGGAATACGCGCACATAAGAGACCCGTTGCGAGGCTCGTATACAGCATTGTTTTTGGCCTGCTGAGGAAACCAGTTGCGTTCCTCGACCCTGTATGTTTCGTCGGTCCCAAAGATTTGACCGGCAGCTTCGCTTATCCATTCTCCCTCTGACTATCGCAGCAGTGTGGTCCAGTATCAAAAGCCGTGGTTGAAGACTCGACAGAAAGATTGCGATCCCCCCGATCGTATTCGTCCAAACAGTTGTCGTGTCCAAACAGTTGTCGTGTCCAAACAGTTGTCGTCGTTTTGAGAATGTTTGCGCACAAGAGGATCTTCATGTGTGACTATAATTCCTGGCAGATGTGAGCTCGTAGGACACCGGTCAGTGGGGGAGAAAGAGCGACTAGGCTGAGCCAGCGTCGCGAGCCGCAGTGATCCGGGCGTCTGTTGTCAGAACGTTGTGTTCCATGTCTCTCTGACCTTCCTCGCCTTGCTCGCCCTCCTCGTCGTTTTCCTTCCCGCCTCACGTTCATGTTCTCAGTCCTCCTATCCATCTCCTTCTGCCACATCCACTGACTTACCACGATCACGATCACCTCCCATGAGCGTACTCACTTCCCCAGCACAACAGCCAGGTATCGTCTTTACGTCCTCTAACGTCAGGCCCATCCAGTCGCTGGATTGACCGTTCACATTGTAACAGACTTGGCGGAAAACTGGGACGAAGACTTTGAATTCAATCGTGCATCCACGATCCCGAATACCGACGCTCATGACCCTCGTCCTGATAGCAGCCCACGCGTCGTGCCCACGGCACCGCGAAACCCGTCCACGCCTCTATCCAAGGAGAAGGAACATCCCTTCAAGACCTGGGCTGAACCTGGCCCGTCCACTCCTTTGAAACGTCTACAGCAAACTGAGAACTGGGATGACGACTTCCAGGACACCGACTCTCCACGGCCCTCCGTTCGTCCAGTGGCACAATCTCAAGTACCGTCTAACGGCAGCACGTCACGCGACGCAGGGGGGTCTGCATCACCCGTTGAGAATTGGGATGAAGACTTTGATGACAACGCCCGCAGCGGCGCGTCGCCGCGCCGCAGAACGCCTCGCAAGAGAGGCTCCTGGGGTTCGTCAGACGAGGAGGAATACGGATTTGCAGATCGTGAGGACGATCGTACGGTGACGACGCGATCGAGAGGTGTGCCCTTTCACATCCCTACAGATATACCTCCTCCTGTGCCTCCCTTGCCTTCCCCGTTTCCCCGCTCTCCGACCGCGTCAGTCTTCTCCGTACCCGTGTCATCCACCACTGGGCGTGAGTCGGTGGCAGGCTACTCCTACTCTTCCCATGCCCATCTTCCCCTGCGGCCGACAGCCTCGGGCGGGAACTCTGCTGCGGTGGCAGCTCGTCTTGCGTTGTTACCGCCAAGCCCACCAATCCACCGGGAGCGCAGACGCCTGCGCAAGAAGTCGCGTCCCCCGCCCAACTTTGAGGAGGGGATCTTCGAGCTCGAGGATCGTGCGGAGTTTCCAGAGCCACCCCGTCCAGTCACACCCGACAACTCAAAGCGAAGCCGCGAATTACCCTCCACTTCGCTAGACGATCCCCCTCCCGACATCAGTAACACCTCCACCGGGAAGACGCCTCTCCTCTCACGCATAGGCTCCGTCGGGAAGAAGTGGGGGACAGGGCGCAAGAAGCGTGCAAGCACCGGTCCTTCTGAAGTGATGCTCAAAGAGCGCAGCGAGCCCCGCGTCCCCCACGAACGCGAGCGCTATCCAGAGAGCGAAGGATCCCGCCCGACCAGCTTCATTGCGTCCAGTTCTCCCGGACATGGCGGTAGCGGTGCCAAGTCGTGGTTTTTTCGCGGTGGTGGCGGCGGTCAGGGGCCAGGCTCGCCACAGCAAGCCGAATCACTGAAGCACGAGAGGAGCGTCGAGCGGCTTCTCCATCTCATGGGCGTAGATCGCGAACGTGAGCCGGGCTCGCCGTCGTCGCGCAAGGGGAAGGGTCGCGGTGGGCATGGAAGGGAGGGGACCGACTCAACCTTACCACAGGACCTGGAGGAGGTTGCGGATGGGAACGACGTTCCTACTTCGACGCTCCTGTTTGGTGGAACTCCGCGTCGCCCGACATCCATGCAGGTGTCTATCGCGGCCTCGTCCTCGGGATCGAGCTGGAGCACACGGCCACCTGTTCCTCGACACGTGTCCTATGGCGACGGGCGACATATGCGACCGACTACTCCCAGTAGCCGTGCGAGCTCGAGGCAGCGGTCGGCATCCGCAAGCGTGGAGGATGTTCATCGCGCGAAGAAGAGCTCAACTACTACGCGCGAGACGTTTGATGGACACTCGAGCGACGCTCATAGTAACCCCCCTCCGGAGAAACCTGCAGGAGAAGAGAAGGGCAGCCGGCGCTTCATGGGAGGTATAAGGCGGATCAGCCTCGTCGGTGGCAAGCACAAGCGACGAAAGAGTGTCGCTCCGCAGGAAGCGGAGAAACAGCAGCGTCCCGGGACTGCATCGTCAGCGCATGACACTGAGACTGCTCATGACAATACCACCCCACGTCCCCCAGCGCGCGTCATCCGCAGCTCACAAGACATCCCTCTCCTTCCGCCTATCGAACTTCAGCCTCCGTCGCCACCTCGCAACAAGGGCGATCGTAAACCTCCTCGAGATCTCACTGGCAGTCCAACACGGGCGTCCGTTGACCGCACACTTGAGCCATCGCGTTCGCATCCCAGTCTTGGCTCCCGCCCAACACAGGTCACTTCTTCAGCCTCCCAGGAAACAACACACTCAGCAGTACCGTCTCCCCTCCCATCGCCGAGCCGACCGATGCCGTCTACGTCACCCGTTCAGACTGCGTCGCTTGGTCGAACGGCGCAGTCCCCGAAAGAACGCGATACACCGAGTAATGCCAACTTTCTTCGACGGAACTCCTTAGGCGATCTGAAGATCCCGGCACGAATCAGCCAGGCGCAAGTAAGCCTAAAGCGCGACTTGAACATGGTTCGGGATTTTGCCGCAAGTGTCGAGCGTAAGTCCTTCGTATAGGTGCTGACGACAAGAATTGTACCGCTCACTACCTCTTCAGAGCTGAAGCAGCTTCAGGCTACATACACGACGCTGACCAGTCAGATCCGTACGCTCATCCACGATCCTCAAGAGTCGCAGTCCCGACCTGTGTCTCCAAGCTTCATACATCTCCCCAAGCCTTCGACACGGTCCCGAGCGCAAACGAATCCGACAACTAGCCATACTCCAAGCCGTGCGCAACTCAATTCGGCATTTCTCAACATCGAAGCGAAGTATCGACTCTCTTGGGAATGCGCCGAGCTCCTTATCGACCTGGGCGGAGGAGGTCCAGATCAACAGCAAGCAACTTCGCCTCCACCGTCGTCCAGTCAGTCTGCGCCAACCGTTCCGACCGTCCGGGATGGTCGCAAGAGTCGCGAGCGCGCTATTACACTTGCAGGGGACGAGCAGAAACCCACCATCAATCCATCAGCTCCCGGGAGTGTTTCCCCTCCTCTGGCAAGCCCGCCTCCAGCCCAATGGCGTGCGTCGACAGGACGACATGATCTCAGTCAGCGACAGCTCATGCTACTACGCGAGATGTTGAATAATTCCGACCCATCTGCTACGATGTCCTTGGAACCAGGTATACCGGAAGAGGTGATCAATCGCAATTGGCGTTGGGGCGATGCCATGAACAGCACTGTCACGCTCCCGAGCGAAGAGTCGGTGCCTTCCGGAGCTCAACCTTCGCCCACCAAGAAGCGGAGGACGAGCCGTCTCGGGATGCGGGGCTTGCGCGATATGCTCAAGTCGCTGAAGAAGAGCTACGCTGATCAGACTCAGCCACCTGTTCTTCCCCGCATTCCTCCGTCATCGTCGTCTGTATCCGCCAGTACGGATTCGTCTTTGAATCTCCCACGTGAGTCGCGTGTCTTTTCAAATCTTATAGGACGTAGTGCGAGAACGATTACAGGTCCCGACTCCGTAGCTTCTCGTCGCCGTGACGTTCATCCCAACTCTCCATACAGCACAGCCCCCGCCCTCTCCCACAAGTCGTCCCCTCGCCGCCCATCTCTTGCGTCCATTTTCCGCTTGGGTCAGAAGTCTAAGGCTGCCGCCGGCCCCCGCGAGCTCGTAGACGATTTGTCGAATCAAACCGGGCTCCCCAGTAGCAGTTCTGGTTTGGCGAGCCGCAGTGGTACCAGCCTCGGTGACGAGGAAGACTGGCATCGTGTTGAGTCTGCATCTGATCTGGAGCACGCCGCGCGGGCTCTTGGACTGTCGTCTGATAGTACGGCAACTGTTCGAGGCAAGAAGGGCAAATCTCCCTATCTCTTCCAACGCACAGTAGACCCCAATGGCACTCACCGCCTTCCTGACCGCTCGCAGTCGTCACTGTGGAGTCTTGGTGGCGAGTCGCCCCAGAAACCTTCCGCAATACCACCCTCAGTGTTGCAGTCATACACACGGTCGATCAAACTCTCTGACGTTCGAGAGGTTGATTCCGATGTGGGAGAAGGAGCACACCTCCCCAGGTCGGCATCACGTAGCAAGAATCGACAGTCTGCTCCTAGTCCCAGTCCTCGACGTCCTCCTTCGCGTGGGCGTATACCTCCGACCGGATCTGTTCGCTCGGCGCCCCCACAGCCGTGGGTGGATCCTAGCCCAAATCGCAGCTCCGGCCCGCTCCCAGACATCAAGCTCGCGATGGCTCCGGAGAACATCAAGCCGTTGTTAGAGAACGCGCGCGAAGTGCATACGCGATGCGCTGATTGTATCACGGAGCTGGAGGCGTTGCTGGACACGAACATCCCTAGGTAAAGGTTCCAGTATTATAATTGCTAACGTATAGTCTCAGATATGAGTGTTGATGCTCCGCATACCTTGTTCTTCATGTTTTCACGAATTGCTTTCGTATACGCTATTACGTCGTCTATCACGTCTCGTCATGTATCTCATGGCCTATTTTACGAATACATCTTCCTTGTGTGACAATGGTATCAGCCTACAGTACCTCGCTGATATACATTGTCTGTAGCCAAGGATCCCGACTATTTTGATCCGCCTCGCAGTCAACCATTGGACGATGCCGGTGTGCGCGACTGCAGACGGGCTCCTTACGGGCAAGCGACAATGCTCCGCTTGGCTACTTACTACTCAGAGAAACCACCGGATGAGATTGCACGGGTCTAGTTGGATTAGGATATAGTAACATGGTGAATCAATCCTAGACTGCTGTATGTGGAGGCTGTATCAGAACGAATGGCGCGCCGTAGTTTCGCATCAAAGGTCACTCCGAACGATTCCGAAACCATGGCGTCCTTGATGTACATGTATGCAATCTACATAGCAGAGAGCGCGTCATTGTGCGCGGAAAGCCTGTCCTGACCCTCCCGTAGCTCCCGCACTGCAGCTAATAGGTGCGTCTGGCATTCTTGCAACATCTTGACTGCGTCAACGAGGTCCACCAGGGCACGCGGGAGGTTTGCAGCAGGCAATTGTTCCTTGACGTTGTCAATGTCCATCATGGCCTTGCTAGAGGTGTGCACCAGGCTGATCTTTGTGGGAATGGCGTCCGCCGTTCGCTCGAGTATTGTCGCGATTTAGGGTCTTGAGAGTCAGCCAGAATATGGGTTCGGAGCGCTACCATGTATCATTATCAAGGAGAAGCCAATGGCCTAATGAGCTTGTTATGCGAGAGCAAGAGTGGTAGAGGGTAGCGGAATATGGCAGGAAATGAATTTACCCGTCGTTGCCCACTGGTGACGAGGCGAGGACGAAGTCTAAACTCGAGATCGACAATCGTCAACTTCAGCACCCATCCGTCATCTATCGTGGCCGTAGCAGACAGTCAGCTTGCCGAGCTTACATATACTCCCATACCCACTGGGCGCACAAGACCAAAGAAGCCTCTTGAACGTGCAGTGCACATACATACATGACGCCTGTAACGAAGCGGCAGACAGGCACACCTCCGATAGCCGACGCCAGCCGCCAAGCCAGGTTACAGTGAGTTCACGAGGTCAATTTACTTTCAATTGGCAAGCAAGCAAGAGATGACGAGGAATGAAACATACATAGCGAGGATACGAGTAGACAGAGATGGTACGTATGCGACAAGGAGACGAGGGGACGGAGGCGGACAATGCGAGTTGAGACGGCGATGCTGATATGACGGGTGCGAGCACAACAGCGGCTTGGAAGGAGAGACGACTCGGATGCCTAGTCATCACCGATCTTGGGTGCGAGGTAGTACCGGATATGACCCTGGTTGAACGCATACGAGACCTGCGTAAACATATGTCATGCCGTTAGCAACCCTTGACGCCAGTGCAGAGGGAAAGCAGAACGATCAGGAAGACGTACAAGGAGTGGGACATCGTTGGACATCATGAGCTGGACCTTTTTCGACAAGCTCGAGCTTTTGGAGAAGTTGACAAGGTACTTGAGCGAGAATGTGAGCGTGACTGCTGAATTCATCTCAATCCTCACGCCCTCGAAATCGTCATCGTCATCATCGTCTGCATCTTCTTTCTTGGCCTTCTTCGCGGGCTTGCTCTGGCATGTGTCAATTTCATGAGCTCTTCTTTCCAATGGCAAAGGAGAATCAGGCAACGAACCTTTCCTGACCCGCGCTTCCGCTTCTTGCTCGACCCCTCATCATCCTCCTCCCCTTCTCCGTTCTCGTCCTTTGTGGGCTTGAACTCGCCTTCGCCTTCATCCTCCTCGTCCGCGCCGTTCATCTCCACATCTTCGCCATTCTCCTCCTTCTTGACCTTCTCCTTCTTGACTTTCTTCTTCCCGCCCTCGCCGTCCGACACCTCCGCGCCCTCCTCTTCCTCCGGCTCGTCCGCTTCGTCGTCATCGTCGTCGGCACCCTTCCGCTTGCTCGACGAGCCCTTCTTCTTGCCCGACGCCTCCGCGTTTTGCTTGATGAGGATATTCCCGTTGGCGGCCTCGCCGTCGCTCACGAACCGGATCCCCTCTTTGGAGACTTCGATTCGGACGGACTCGCCGAGTAGGGAGAGGTCACGGACGATACGCAAAAATTCGGACGAGGGCATCGTTACGGACGCGTCGTAATCAGTGTCGGGGATCCCAAGCTGGTCAGCGTCGATGTCCATGAGCTTCATCTCGTACTCGGCGATGCGATCGGCGTCTGCGGGGATTGCGATCCGTTAGTCTGGTATGACATGATCATGACGAATACGCGGATGGAGAGCAACGGAGGACACGAGGGTTCGGTGTGACGTCGTGTACGTCGAATATAGTCGAGTAGCAGTCGTACTCGCGTGAGATCGCGTGCATGCTCTCCAGCCGCGAGCTGAGATACCGAGTACAGTCGCCTGACACGCTGCATAGAGCGCAACCGGCCGGTGACCGTGATTGACAGCAAAGGTAACATCAGAGAAACCTCGTGCGCAGCATCCATTCTGGGATTTGGCTCCCCCCTAGAAGAGAGGTGCGCGACTGAAGGTGGTTGACGCGCCTTGGGGACGCGTCCACTCGACCCAGTCGTCACAACGGACAAACAGGAAAGGAAGGGAAGGCAAGAAAAGAAAGGACACGCGCTCTTTGCTTCATAAGTGAGAGAGAGGATATCAGCGTCGTCGCCGGCTTTGAGAGTGCAGATATCATCGTCCTTTGCGCACTTGAGGACCTTTGTGAGGGAACCAAGGTTGACGCCTAGAGGGAGAGGGCGGTCACAGCGGTAGCGCTTGAATCCGGACGCGTAGAGCTTGACGGAGACGAGAGCGACGTGAGAATTGTCCATGGCTTGGAGTTGCTGGGGTGTGGTGGCGGGTGAGTTGCGTCGGATGGGAGCAGGGAGGTAGAGCAAGTACTCACGATGCCCTCCTCATTACACTCAAAGTTGGCGTCTGAGACGAGTTCCTTGACGGCTGGACGCGTCGGGTGAGCCAAGAGACGCGTCGGGACGCGAGGAAACGTACCGTCGAGAAGACGCTTGAGAAGGGCGGCCTCGGAGAGCTTGGCTTCCAACATTGTGAATTTAGATGGAGTGTGTAAAGCTAGAAGCAAGTGCGCGAGTGGTGACGCTGCTGACGGCGGCGGGGGATGAGGATGGGGGAGGAGGAGGAGGAGGAGGAAGAGGGCGGCGCGAGAACGCGTCGGGCCAAGGCGGCGCTGGCGGAGTTCCAACTCAAAGACGCGTGCCTCACACCACTGTCACACCAGGTCACACACGCGTCGTCACGCACGCGTCCTACGCTCAGCCACCGCCGCGTTAGTATCCTACCTGACAGACTTTCTTTGGACAGTATACAAGCACGTAAACACTGTTGGGCAATAACCCCAAGTCGGATTCGTGTCCAACATCACGGAGTTACATCTGACCCACTGCAATCGTCTCGTGTATGATAGCACGGCGCTGAGCGCGGTCCAAGAGCAGTGTAGGCTACATCGTGAACGACTTCGTAACCAGGCCTACTACATCCGATCGCGTCCTTCCGGGAGAGGTTACCGCCGTCTGCCAGACTTCAGAGTGATCCTTCATCCACTGCGACCTTAGCCGCAGCATCGTCTTAGGGGTCTCCAAGGGGTACGGTGTCTTCAGCGAGTCGGGCGTGTCCTCGACCTCAGGGAGCTCCGCTGGGAAAAGATGGGAGCATCAGTGGTGAACAGTAGGAGGCACCGCAGAGATATCAACTTACCTGGCTTCGGGAACCAATGAGCATACTTCGCCTTGTACCGGTCGTCACCAGCTGCGATGTCTTCAACGGATTCCGGGTTAAAGCCGGAAGATACTCTTGTATGCGCTGGAGCAGGAGCGGTGATCAGCGCATTGACGGATCGCATATTTCGGCAAATAATCACCACAAGTCGTCGCCGTCACTGCCTCCAGATGCCTCACATGTGGCTTGAGAGGGAACGAGATGTCAGCTTCATATATACCACCGCGATCCATAGAGAGATTGAGCTTGCTAGCCGTCGTGAGCGGACTCTTCTTGGACAGCCGTATCTCCTCTTCCAACTCCGTTGCGAA